TAATTTTTAGGGCTCTAGGAGGATCAAAACCCTCTAACTGAATTCAGGATTTCCTGGGGTTGAGACAAAGAACTTCTCTGGGAGGCCCATACTTACTTTGTTTTCAAACAAAGGATGGTGATACTGAAGTCAGTAGCAGAAACTGAGCGGGACCTTGGAAGTCAGTTCAAAGACTTCTCCAAGCATTTAATTTTGCCAATTAGAACTGTCTTATCTCTAAGGTTGGCAGCTTTATTGTTGTGGAACAGAGGGAATCAGCAGCCCATGTTCTTGGTTGCCTCACCTATGGCTGACTTCAGAGCACTATGCATTTGCTCTTTCTTTTTTCTCTCTTTTTTTTTTTTTAGACAGGGTCTCTATGCAGTTCGGGCAGGCCCTGAGCTCACTTTGTAGCCCAGGCTGATCTCAAACTCGCAACAATCCTCCTGCCTCAGTCTCCCAAATGCTGGGATTACAGGCATGAGCCACCATGTCCAGCCTTTATACACTCTTTCCAACACAGTCAGAGGCCCCTGTGTTCAGCAACTTAACCTTATACAGCTGGATCTCCAACAGCTACCAACCCCAATTCCCACAGGGCAATGCAGAGGGCCAGGTGATGCCAGTGTATGCAATGGATTCTGTTACAAGAGAGGAACTCTGAGGATAGGGACCCTAAATATTTTATAATGCCCTTTATTTTAAGTGCACCCTGTTTTTCTAGGCTCTGAGCAAACCTGCCCTTTGCTCTGGAGGGAGACACTAATGGGGATCACTACATTCTCTAACTCTTCTATTTTCTCTCCTTGTCCTTAAAAATCATTCCATAATTAAGGCAGTCATTTCTTTCCTAGCAAGAAATATGTAACAACAAGTGGGCCATGAAGAACTGTCTAATACTTTATTTAAAAAAAAAGAAAGTAGAGCTTCTGGGAGAACACGGCAGACTGATAACAGCAGCCATGGAGGCTCTCTGAGATTACCAGCTTAGAATCTAGGAATGATGCTGTGTGAGGAGTCCTAAGCAAGGGGGAGATATACCCTGCCGACCCAAGAACAAAATAAGCTGAGAGAAACCAACTGGAAATGCAATCCCGATGCTATAACAGGAACAGATAAAATCTCAGCGCAGAAGCTGGAACCCACACCTCTGGAAGCCCCGATTTGAATTTCCTGCTGCCACTGCAGCGTCCCATTTGGCACAACAGGGAGCGAGAATGCACAAAAGCTCTGAGAGCGGGAATCCATGAACCAAATGGAGTTGAGAGCCGGCCTGGCAGGGAGCCCTGCATCAACCTGTGGTGAGTGAGAGGAACAAGGACCCTTTCATAGACTCGGAGGCTCCAACAGAGGACATTCTGGGACTGGGCAGACTAGCCGGAACAGGACACTGCAGTGACTTTAGTCGCATATTCCCCTCTCAAGCGGGATTGGTGGGGAGTGCCTGGCCTGGTGATGCAGACTAAGATCCAGTAGGCTAGCCCAAAGCAGGTCCCAGTGCCTGGCAGTGCACCCTAGCAGTGAAGCCTTCAGTAGGTTGATCTGGAGGGGCGGACCCAGCAGAGGCTGCCCAGGTCTGTGTCTCCCTAGTACACTGCAGTGGGCAGGAACACCTAGCCAGTGGAATTCAAACAAACTGTAACAGACAAAGAGAAAAAAAAAAACTCCTATATATGCTTGTATGGAAGGAACAAAAAGTATGGGAAGAGGGAACAGTAAGAAAGGGTCCTCAGTCCCCAATCCTGAGAATACTGATCCAGGAAAGGGAAATGCAAAGGAGAATGAGAACAGCAAATATGCAATATCAGACACGGCACCTATAGACATAAAGCAATATCTCCGAAGCCTCATAGATGAGTTCAAAAATGAAGTATTTAATGAAATAAAGCAAGAAATAAGTAGAATAGTTAGAGAAATGCTAAGCACCACTCAAGAAAAAACAGATGGTGGAATGGAAGAACAGAAAAAGAGGGGAGAATTGTTTGATGGAGAAAATAGAGAAAACATAGAATACATGAAGCAGGTTCAAAGAGATTACCAGGAAACTAAATCTCTATTGAAAGCTGGCATAACAGCTTGAAAGAAACTAAGAATAGATTATCTGAACTAGAGGACAGATTTGTAAGGGGGGAGCATGAAATGAAAAACTTCTTAAAAATAACAAGAAAACAAACAGCAATAATACAAAGGCTAGAAGATGATAAGAGGATCTATAACTTAAGAACATAAAAGAAGAAGTAGGAACACAAACAAATGGACTACAAAAGCTACTCACAGAAATAATCCAGGATAATTTCCCTAATTTAGCAAAAGGTAAAGATACTCAGATGTATGAGGCATACAGGACCCCAGCCACCTACAACCCAAACAGAGCAACACCCAGGCATATAATAATCAAAATTCCAGAAATCCAATATAAGAACAGAATATTAAATGCTGTCAGAGACAAGAAACAGATCAATTACAAGAGAACACCCATCAGAATTACAGCAGACTTCTCGGCACAAACCATCAAATCACGAAGAGCGTGGGGGGAAATAATTCAAGCTTTGAAAGATAATAACCTCCAGCCAAGATTGATATATCCTGCACAACTGTCCCTAGAAATTGATGGAAAAACAAGGTGCTTCCAGGATAAAGAGGAACTAGGGGAATTTGCAGCCACCAATTCAACTCTACAGAGAACATTGCAGGATATTCTAAAAAAGAAAAATACCAAGATTCCAGAAACAGTGGCAGAGAGGCCACAATGAATGGAGCAGAAAGCGAAATGAAGAAGACAAACTGACAACTAATGGCAGAAAAAGAGCTCAACAGAAATGAGGCAGAGAAGATTGGATGGTAGGAACAGCTATTTTAGAGAAAACAAGACATCATAATAGGCAGTGCTGATTTAATATCATTTTGTTTTGAAGTCCCATCAAGCTTTTGTTCTTCTGTCTCCATCGGTCTTAACATGTTGTATCTTATTGGATTTTATTATATATGATAATATAAACAAAAACTTTTATAGACAAAGAGATTATACAGAAACCATTGTTCATTTTCTGTTAGTTGATTCTAAATACCCTGTAATACTGTCATTCTCTTGAATGGTTTTACATTGTCTTGATATGTTTGATGCTACAGTATATGAAGTTATACTCAAAGATTTCAAGGAAAGAGACACTATGGTAACTAATTTTATGTCAGGATTATCTTGTGGTGAAACACTATTTTGCTTAAATAGTTATGTTTTTACCTGCATTGTTTTGTTGTTATGCCCTCTTTTATCTCGATCTCCTTTTTTTATTATTTACTTTTTCATTTTTATCCCTTTAATTAAGGGAAAAATAAATAAAAATAGCAGGATATGTTATAGCAACCCACTTTGATTTCCTATTAACTTGATTTGAAACCCTGTATTACTCTCACCATCTTGTTTTGACTGATTTTCCTCTATTCTGTTTTGCTTGATAGTACTAAGTTCGAAAGTATAGGCAACAACTATGAAGACAATAAGATCCATTATGACGCCCATTCTGGCTGACTATTCTCTTCTATTGAAGTCCTGTAATGTCTCCAATGTTTTGGTTTTATTGGTTTTGTTCTTTACTGTTTTGTTCAATTTTATTATAACTGATGATATAGGCAATTCTTTTTAAGATAGCAAGAGGCATTATGGTAACCATTGTTGATCACCTTGTATTTTGTTTTTATATTGTGTATTATGTCCATCCTTTTGATTTGAATGATTCTGTCCTGTTATGTCACATTTAGTTTTACTCTCTTCAAAAAAAAAAAAAGTAATAAGAACAGTGGGAGTAATAAAACCCAAAATGTGTAATTGTCATTATACAAAATAGAGGAAAAGAAAGTGCTCTAAAGGACATAACTGCATGTATATTTAAGTGTATAATATAGGTAACCATATTATTGAGTTTTATTGGATCATTAAACAGAACTGTTTGCAGTCTCACTGTTTGAATGTCCACTCTATATGCTTTAATTTTGTAACTTGAACAACTATTTCTAAGATGACAATATGTAATCTATTAACTAGTGATTTTCTACTGTTTATTTTTTCTGAAATTCTGTATAACTTGTACCCTTTTCTGGTTTTTTTTTTTTTTTTTTTTTTTTTTTCTCCTTAAATTAAAAAAAAAAACTCTAAAAAAAAAAAAAAGAAAAAGAAAGTAGAGTATCTGCCTACTTGTTAGTTACTAGCAAACACACTATACATTTGTAGGTTGGTGAGAATATACCTCCTTGATCACTTCCCAATGGATGTGCTCCTATTCCTCTTTCTGATTCTCCTCAAGATTTTCCATAGGAATAAACTCATCTTCCATAAATCTTACAGCCCAAAGCTCATAAAATCATCAGCTACACAACAGCTATTTTTTTTTTTTTTTTTTGGTTCCAGGTATCGAACTCTCAACCTTGCGCTTGCCAGGCAGGCACTTATGCCGCTGAGATAAATCCCCAGCCAGCCCTGCAACAGCAATTTAATGAATTTCAGTAAAAAATGAGGATGAATTAAAGATTTCTAAGTAGAAGGTCAGGTAGGTAATTTGATTACCCATCTATTAAACTAGTAATTCTCATTATCCCCTGTCTCCAGCTCACAATGGGAATATTAGACATCCACTTGTCATCCAGGAGTGGTGGTGCACGTCTGTAATCCCAGTGCTCAGGAGGCTGAAGGAGGAGCACTGTGAATTCCAGGCCAGCCTTAACTACTAGCAAGCCCCTGTCTCAAGACAAAAAAAGACAACAAAACAAAAGATACCCACTTATCAGCAGTTCTTTATGGGAAACAATTGAGGAATGGCAAAACTGAGCATTAATGAGCAAATTCTAAGTTAACTTTTTGTATTCCTTATCTTGCCTGAGAATATCACATCTTATTGCAATGTGAAAGTATGAACATAGCTCACCTATAACCATATCCAATTTTTAACTACTTCAAAATTAGATACTATTCTCACCAATATAATTACATATATAATTGTGATTATAGAAATAGATTCTTTTTTTTTTTTTTTTTTTTGGTCTTTTTCGTAGATTCAGATCTACACAATTAGGAATGAAAAGGGTAAAATATCATAAAAGACCCTGCAGAAATCTAGAAGATCATCTATACCTACTTTAAAAATTTGTATTCTAAGTAGTTGGAAAATACAGAAGAGACTTCCGGGAGAACATGGTGGATAGATAGCAGCAGCTACGGAGGCTCTCTGAGAAACTGCACTTAAAATCCAGGAATGGTATGGTATGAGAAGTCCTAAGCAAGGGGAGATACACCCTGCCGACCCAGGAATGAACTAAGCTAAGAGAAACCAACTGGAATCCAATCCTGGTGCTATAACAGGAACAGATAAAATCTCATCGCAGGAAGCTAGAACCCGCGCCACTGGAAGCCGCGATTTGAATTTCCTGCTGCCGCTGCTGCATCCAAATCTTCAAGGCAAGGAGAGAGACGCGTGATAGCTCTGAGAGCAGGAATCTGCGGAGCTGAGAGCAGGACTAGCAGGGAGCCGTACATCGACTTGTGGTGAGTGAGTGGAACGGGGACCCTTTCATAGAGTAGGAGGCTCCAGCAAAGGACATACTGGGACTGGGCAGACTTGCTGGAACAGGACGCTGCAATGACATTAGCCTTATATTCCCCTCTCAAGCGGGACTGGTGGGGAGTGCCTGGCCTGCATGACGCGCTAAGACCCAGTAGGCTAGCCCAAACCAGGTCCCAGCGCCTGGAGGTGCACCCTTGTGGTGAAGCCTTTGGTAGGTTGACCTGGAGGGGTGGGCCCAGCAGAGGCTGCCCAGGTCTCTGTCTCCCTAGTACACTGCAGTGGGCGGGAACACCTAGCCGGTGCAATTCAAACAAACTGTAACCGACAAAGAGAAAAAAATTGGGCCTCCTATATATGCTTGTATGGAAGGAACAATCTGAAAAGTTTACATAGTGTATGATTCCATTTATGCAATATTTTTGAAACGACAAAATTATTGTGACAAAGAATAAATCAGCATTTAGTATCATCTTGCTTTGAAGTCCCATCAAGCTTTTATTCTTCTCTCCATTGGTCTTAACAGCTTGTATCTTACTGGATTTTATTATATGTGATAATATAAGCAAAAACTTTTATAGACAAGGAGCTGATACAGAAACCATTGTTCATTTTCTGATAGTTGGTTCTAAATACCCTGTAATACTGTCATTCTCTTAAAGGGTTTTACATTGTCTTGGTATGTTTGGTGCTACAGTATACGAAGTTATACTCAAAGATTTCAAGGAAAGAGACAGTATGTAACTACTTTTATGTCAGGATATCTTGTGGTGAAACACTATTTTGCTTAAATGGTTATGCTTTGACCTGCACTGGTTTGTTGTTATGCCCTCTTTTATCTAGATCTCCTTTTTTAAAAATTATTTATTTTTATCTTTTTAATTAAGGGAAAAAATTTTTAAAAAGCAGGATACATTATAGTAACCCACTTTGATTTCCTATTAACTTGATTTGAAACCCTGTATTGCCCTCACCATCTTGCTTTGACTGATTTTCCTCTATTCTGCTTTGCTTAATAGTACCAAGTTCAAAAGTATAGGCAACAACTGTGAAGACAATAAGATTCATTATGACACCCATCCTGGTTGACTATTATCTTCTTTTAAAGTCTTGTAATGTCTCCAATGTTTTGGTTTTATTCTTTACTGTTTTGTTCAATTTCATTATAACTGATGATATAGGCAATTCTTTTTAAGATAGCAAGAGGCAGTATGGTAACCATTGTTGATCACCTAGTATTTTGTTTTTACATTATCTATTATGTCCCTCCTTTTGATTTGACTGACTCTGTTCTGTTATGGCAATTTGGTTTTACTGTCTTCAAAAAAAAGTAATAAGAACTGTGGGAGTAATAAAATTGTCATTGTACAAAAGAAAGAAAAATAAAGTGCTCTAAAGAATATAACTGCATATATATTTAAGTGTATAAGATAGATAACCATATTATTGAGTTTTGTTGGATCATTGAACAAAACTGTTTCCAGTCTCACTGTTTGAAAGTCCTTTATATGCTTTAATTTTGTAACTTGAACAACTATTTCTAAAATAACAATATGTAATCTATTAACTAGTGATTTCCTACAGTTTATGTTTTCTGAAATTCTGTATAACTTGTACCCTTTTTCTATTTTTTTCTTTTTCTCCTTAAATAAAATAAATAAATAAAAAGAAAATACAGAAGAAATGGACAGATCTCTAGATACATATGAATTATCAAAGTTGAATTAAGAAGATATAAAAATCCTAAATAACCCAATGTCAATCAGTGAAATCAAAGATGTAATTAAAAACCTATCAACAAAGAAAAGCCAAGGCCTGGCAGATTCACTGCTGAATTCTACAAGAAATTGAGAGAAGATCTAACACCAATATTTCTCAAACTCTTCAATGAAACTGAAAGGGAAACAATACTCCCAAATTCATTCCTGGAAGCAAGCATGACCCTGAAACCAAAACCGGAGAAGGACTCAACTAAGAAAGAGTATTACAGGCCAATTCTGCTAATGAAAACAGATGCAAAAATCCTTAATAAGATACTGGCAAACAGAATGCAGCAAATCGGATTATATACCATGATAAAATGGGATTCATCCCAAGGATGCAGGGATGGCTCAACATATGCAGATCAATAAATAAATATAATGCACATATTAACAGAGTCAAGGACAAAAATCATATGATCATCAATAGATGCACAAAAGCTTTGGACAAAGTCCAGCACCCATTCATTATGAAAAAGAAAACCTACAGAAAAGTGAAATACATGGTCTTTATCTCAATCTGATAAGAACCACCTATGACAAACCAACAGCCAACATCACACTAAATGGACAAAAATTTAAAACTATCTCTCTAAAACCAGGAACAAGACAAAGATGTCTACTGCCTTCACCCTTATTCATAGTCCTGGAAATATTAGCTGGAACAATTAGACAAGAGAAAGAAATAAGGGCTGTGGATTTAGCTCAGCCGCATAAGCACCTGCCTTGCAAGCACGCAGTCCTGAGTTCGATCCCTGGTACAAAAAAAAAAAAGAGAGAGAGAGAGAGAGAGAGAGAGAGAGAGAGAGAGAGAGAGAGAGAAACAAATAAAAGAAACAAAGATAGGAAAGGAAAAGTTAAACTACCGTTATTTGCAGATGACATGATACTCTACTTAGAAGACCCCAAAACACCACTTAAAAACTTACAGATTTAATAAACAAATTCAGTAGCACAACTGGATACAAAGTCAACACACAAAAATCAAGTCTTCCTGTTTATGAATAACAAACTCACTGAGAGAGAACTCAGTGAAACAGTATCTTTTACAATAGTATCCAAAAAAATGAAATACCTAGGAATCAACCTAACAAAGAATGTAAAAGACCTCTACACTGAAAACTACAGTACTCTGAAAAAGGAGATTGAAGAGGATATTAGAAAATGGAGAGAGATCCTGTGCTCTTGAGTAGGAAGAACCAATACAGTGAAAATGGCCATATTTCCAAAACTGTTACACTGACTCGGTACAATCCCAATCAAAATTCCAATTGCATATCTCACAGAATTAGATAGAACAATCCAAAAATTTACCTGGAACCAGAAGAGATCTAGAATAGCAAAGGCAATCCTGGGCAAAAAAGGCAAGGCAGGGGGCAACATAATTTCTGTCTTGAAACTATACTATAAAGATACTTGATAAAAACAGCATAGTACTAGCAAAAAACAAACAACAACAAAACCCAGATTGCACAGGAACTGTCACAAAGGATCAACAACTGGGGTTTTATCTTACTGAAAAGCTTTTGCACAGCAAGAGAAACTACCAACAGAGTAGAGAGACAACCGACAATGTGGGAGAAAAGATTTGCCAGCTATTTCTCAAAAAAAGGATTGCTATCAAGAACATATAAATAACTCAAAAAATCAGTCCTCCCATATTTAAAGACCCAATCTAAAAATGAGCATCTGAGATGAACACACACATCTCAGATGAAGAAATACAAACAGCAAAGAAATATATGAAAAAATGTTAACATCACTGGTCATTCAAGACATGCAAATTAAAACAACACTGAGATTTTACCTCACCCTAGAAAGAATAGCTATTACTAAGAAATAAAGCAATAACAAATGTTGAAGGAGCTGTGGTGATAAAGGAACCCTTCTCCACTGGTGATGGGAGTGTAGCCTGGTGTAACCACTGTGGAAATCAGTGTGGAGATTCTTCAAGAAATTAGGATTGAAGGTCCCATTTGATCCAGCTATTCTCCTTGTGGGTGTCTTCTTAGAATTAAAAACTTCATACCACAATGATATATGTGTACCCATGTGCACAGCAGCAGTTTGTAAATAGGTAGATCCTAGAAACAACCTAAATGCCCATCGACTGGGGGAATGGATAAAAACATGCAGTACTTTTATACAATGGGGTACTATTCGGCCATAAAAGACAAACTGAAGACTTTATAGGTAAATGGAGACCATACTCATAAGTGAAATAAATCAGACATGCATGGGTAATCACTGAATTGTCTCATTATTGTGAGCTGAAACAATATGCACATGTGTGTGTGTGTGCGCACGCGCGTGTGCACACAGAGTTAAAATGTTTGTACTATGGATTTCTCTGAATTTATTTAAAGGAAAGATTTTGCAAGTATCATTCAGGCAATTTAATGCAAATGTCTCATGCTCTGCATGAATGATTTGGGGATGACAATGCTCAGTGTACCATTTTTGCCCCCCATTGAGAGGTTTTGAAACTTTTTTTCTCTTTGAAATAAAATGGATTTAAATATATATAGATACATAGACAGACAGACAGACTGACAGATAAATAGAAAGAAATTTCGGCCGAAAAATATCTAAATTTTTCAAAATTAGCAAAGCCTATCTGGAAGGCATCTTAAAGTACTTAATCTCTTTTATTATTATCATTATTTTCTTTTTTTTTTTTTAATAGTACCGGAGATCGAACTCACAACCAACCCTGTGCTTGTAAGGCAGGCGCTTATGCCGTTGAGCTAAATCCCCAGCCCCAGGCTGTTTTGTTTCCTTCTTTTTTTGTTTAAATTATTACTTTGACGTTGAAAGGCATGTTAAGATATACTTATGCTTATCTGGTCCTCCACAACAATCAGTTCAGAAATGTAACTACTACAGTAGATCAATGTTTAACCACAAAGGAAAAGATACACTGCCACATTAGCTGATTCTTGTTGTCTTTGAATTTAATGAGTTTACATCAAAAATTTAGATAGTCATTTTACATTTAAGGAATAAAAATCTTAAAAATAAGAATACAAAGAGTGTAAGGATTTTAGCCAAATTTACACTTCTTTTTGCTATCTTTTTTAATAATTCATCTCATCACATCTTAGTGCAATGTGCAAATGCATTTGCAGCACCCATTACAGTCATGAAACTAAATAGTGGCTCTCAGAGGAAACTGGTTTCCATCTATTAAAAACTCTACAATATACAGAAGCATTAATAATATTATTAGCTAACCACCTACGGTCTTAAGAATCATCACCAAAGTTTTCTGGGAATAAGTCTCATAAGAATTAAATATTTAAAAGATGAAATGTTCCTTATTTTAATTTTAGCAAGATCTTTACTTTTATTCATTGCTAAGAAACATTTTAATAGTTTGAAAGCATAGACTGGTAGGAGTCTAGAAAGCTAAAATTATACTCCTGAGTTCAAACTCACAGATAAGTCTTTTGTAAGTAATTCTCAATAAAATAGCCTCCCTCCCCAGCCCCCTGCTCCAAATCTTGTATTATTTCTTACAAAACTTTGGTCAAGAATAGAAATATATCCAGGCAGATGTATATGCCATACAATAGCAAGAACAATAAAGCCCAACTAATTACTTTGAGTTTTAAAAATAGAAGGCAATTAAAATGTACTCAAAGTTACATTAAAAAAAGCTTTCATGGAGTAATATTCAAACAGTCACAAAGGTTAAGAAAATACTAATATCAAAGTACAAATGACTACAATGTTAGACAAAAACTACTATACAAGAGCCTCTTCTAAAATTAAAAATAAAGAACACAACACATGAGTCAGGATGAGTTTCCTGTTCTACTCATGAATTTTAGTCTTCATATTTATACGGTCGGTTATGCTGACATCCAGTAGTTTCTCATGACACCTGATGAAGTCTCATTCCAACTTTGGAGGGCAGATCTTCTCCAAGGAATCTTTTGATTCTGGTCACATCTTCGTCATTGTACAATTTCAAAATAGTGCAGTATTGCCATGATGTGCTGGGGCATGAAGACATATCCAGTGTACAGGGCCATGCCCACGACAGACACCAACATGGAATCTGAGCTGCAGTTAAGGAAACTAATTTTCTTAGGTTATTAACATAAAACTCACAATTTTTTCAACAGTCATTTTACGCTGAAGTACCCATCACATAAACTTTCACGTATTTTTTGGTATTCATGATGAACTAATACGGAGTGACAATGCTAGCCACCGTGCCTAGCAGCATTCTCGGGATTTAGGTTTTTTCTGTTTGGTTGGTTGATTGGCTTTTGTTTTTAGGCTCATTTTTTCTTCATCACTACCATACAAATTAGGTACTATTATTCTCTCTAGTATAGTTAAAAATACTAGCCTGCTTATAAAACCAAGCCTAGGAAATGCCACTTGACTGAAGAAACAAATGTATGCAATAAGTGTGCAACTAATAACTATAAAAGATATATTAACTTAAATAGTAATAAGAATTTCTGCTTAGCACTAGCACAGAAACAGATATAAAGATCAATCGAACAGAATAGAGGATGCAGAAACAACCCTACACACATTCAGCCACCTGATGTTTGACAACAGGCCCAAAATCATACACTGGAGGAAAGAGAGCCTCTAGTAAATGATGCTGGGAAAACTGGCTCTCCACATGAGGATGACCGAAGACCCATATCACACATCGTGCACTAAACAAAAATCAAAAATGAATCCAAGGTCTAAATACTAGAACAGGAGCAGGCCACTATGCCTCGCTCTTGCCTGGTGAACTGCTCAGGCTGTAGAGTGTATTTCTTTTCCTACTTTTATTTGGCCCAAACTCACTCTGCGAAGTTGTTTTTCCTACCCTGATTGATCCTTTGCTACCATTTAAAAAAAGTGAAAAGAAATAATCTGCTGAAAGATAAAATGAGTAAAATTCTTGAAGGAACAGGCAGAGGCAAAGGCTGAACAATTCCAGAAAAAAATAACATCAAGAATCAACAAATGGACTCTAGCACATTTTTAAAAATCCTACACAGGAAAGGAAACAACAGAGTGAAGAGACAGCCTATAGAATGGGAAATTTTTTTGCCAGCTATTCCTTGGACATCTAGAATATATAAAGAATTCAAAAAACTCAGAACTCCCTAAAAAGACTCAATCAAAAAATCAGCAACTAAAGGAATAAACACTCATTAGAAACAAAATGCTCAGTAAATTCATGAAAAAAAAAAATTGCTGAGTATCTCTGGCCTTTAGAGAAAGGCAAATTAAAACAACATTGAGATCTCGTCTTACTCCAGAATGACCATCATCAAGAAATCAAATAATACAATTCTGGGAGAGGCTACAGGGAAAAAGAAACCCTTCTATATTGCTGGCATGAATGTAGTACAGCCACTACGGACCCCAGTATGGAGGCTCCTCAAAAATCTAAAACTAGATATTTCATTTGGATTTCTATCTTCCCAATAGAGCTAAAGACATCATGTTACAAGAGCACCTGCATACCCATGTTTGTAGCAGCACAACTCATAACAGCTAAATCTTGGAAGTAACCTATTTATCTATCAGCAAATGAATGGATAAAGGAAGTGTGGTATTTATATACAATGAAGTGCTATTTTGTCATTAGCAAAGGATAAACCTGAGTCATTTGTAGAAAAATGGATGCATACCAACACATGTTAAGTGAAATAAAACAGACACACAAATTTAAAATCCACATGGTTTCTCTTATCTGAGAAACCCAAAATATAAATAAAGAGCAAAACAATAGAGAGATAACAGGAAATAGAGAGGTAGAGCTTTTGCCACAGGGAAGAGGACCATGAGCTAGAGAAAGTGGGAAGGGCCAAGAAGGGAAAGGAATAAAAAAAGATGTGTCATATGTTTAAGTACCACATTATTTCTTTGGTATGAGAAACCAAAACTGTAAATAAGGATCAAAATGTATAATAGATATTGGGAAATGGGAAGAAAATGTTAAAATGAGAAGGGGGAACACAGGAGGGTAGAGGAGAAAAAGGAAAAAAAAGACAAAGAAAAATTAGAATAGAAAAAAAAAATGGAGGCCAGGTATGATGGCATACACACCTGTAGTTCCAGCACTCAGGAGGCTGAGGCAGGAGGATTGCTATGAGTTCAAGGCCAAGTTGGGCTACATAGTGAGTTCAAGGCCAGCCTAAATTACATAGTGAGACCCTGTTCCAAAAAACAAAAAAAGAAAAAATAAAAATAAAGCTTTCATAAATGAGGAGGAGAAAAGAGGTTGAAGGGAAAGGAGGGGATAGGGGAAAAAGAACCAAGATACATCATGTACAGGTACAAATACCCTATGATGAATGTTACCATTGTATATATCTAAAATGTACCAACATGCTGGATGTGGTAGTACACACTTGTAATTCTAGCACTTGGGAAGCTGAGGCAGGAAGATCATCACCAGTTTGAGATCAGCCTGGGCTACAAAGTGAGTTCAAGGGGACTGAGGATTTAGCTCAGCGGCATAAGCACCTGCCTGGCAAGCAGGTGGTCATGGGTTCAATCCCCGGTACTGATAAAAAAAAAAAAAAAAAAAAAAAGAAAAAAAAGAAATACCAAAGTGAGTTCAAAACCAGCTTGAAACTACATAGCTACACCCCTAGATTTTTTAAGGCTAAATTATAATAAATTATAATTTTTTAAGTCTAAATTATTCAGGCCAACCTTGAACTTCCCATCCTCTTGTCTCACTCCAATAGAGGGCATTCCAGGCAGCTGTCACTACATCCAGCTACTCTGCTACTTTTTCAGTGCACTTTCCTTTTTTTTTTTTTTTTTTTTTTTTTTTGGTTTTTTTTTTTTGTTTTGTGACAGGGATTAAACTCATAAACTCACACTTACCAGGCTCTTGAGCCACAGAGCTAATCCTCGGCCCTACAGTGCACTTTCCAACACTGCAAACCATCTCCCAACACACACATATCCAACTTGCAGCCATGTCATATACAGCTCAGAAAACACTACATATTGTTCTACTACTCTGACTTTGCTTATTGTTTAGTAATAACAGCAGTAAGAATACTGGTAGTGCCGGGCATGGCGGCACATGCCTGTAATCCCAGCAGTTGGAGGCTGAGGTGGAGAATCACTGTGATTCTTGGGGCCAGCCTGGAATACAAAATGAATTCAAGAACAGCCTGAACAGCATAGTAAAATCCGGTCTCAAAAAGACCACACAGCCGGGTGGGCATAGTGGCACACACTGGTAATCCTAGCACCCAGGAGACTGAGGCAGGAGAATTGTTTGCAAATTTGATACCAGCCTGGGCTACAAAGTGAGCTGAGACCTTGTCTCACAAAAAAAAAAAAAAAAAAAGACCACATACACACACAAAATCAGTGTCTAGATAATGTTGTACTAAAAATACTTTGGGGGGCAGGGGTTATAGGTTATAGGTCAGGGTACAGGCACATTTCTAGTGTGCACTAGTCCCTGGGTCCAGTCCCCAGCACCACCAAAGGAACAAAGAAAAAAACAGGAAAAAAAAAAAAAACAAACTTTTTTTTTTAAGAGTTTATACAGAAGCCAGTTATGGTAGCACATGCCTGTAATCCCAGAATTTGCGAGGCTGAGGCAGGAGGATCATTACAAATTCAAGACCAGCCTTGGCTACAAATTGAGCTCAAGACCAGCCTGAATTGCACAGGGAGACCCTGTCTCAAAAGATCAAAAAAAGAAAGTAAGTTACACATAAGTCTTATAAATATATACATCAAGCAAATGAAAATGGTAAAGTCACAGGCTTCAGGTCACTGGCTCAAGTTCAACGCAATTGACAAAACAGCTCTTTCATTAATTATGTTACATACCTTCTATAGCACTATAAATCTTCTATTTAGTAGGGATAATATATCCATGAAAGTATATCCATAAATCAGCTTAATCAAGATTACTCCACTCTAATATAAGACTCTGAAACTTAAACTCTTTATTTTATGAACACTAACTTATCCAGTTTTTAAATTTTTACATGCATATAAAATCTTTTTTTCTAAGTGAAACAAGAACTTTTCAAAACTTGAAATGGTTTTTTGTCTGATGAAGATGCAAGATACCAAAGTTCAAGGCTATACTTGGCACATTGTGTTGTGATGTATATGCATGGAGTACAGGTAATAAGAAATAAATGGCAGGCGGCATAAGCACCTGCCTTGCTAGCAGGCGGTCGTGAGTTTGATCCCCGGTACCGATAAAAATGAAAAAGACAAAAAAAAAAACCAAAGAAATGGCAAATTCAGGATACTGGTCACGTAGTGGGGTGGAATGGAAGAAAGCAAAAGCAGCAGAGAAGGGAGATACAGGCGTTTCAAATACATTAGGAATATTTTTCTTCAGCTGCCTAGTGGTACAGGTACATTCATTATACATTTATGGGGGCCTTTTTTATGCCTGTGTGGTTTTCTTAATAGATAAGAGCTGTAAAGGAAAATACACATAATCCCAGCACTCTGGGAGGCTGAGATAAAAGGATCACAAAATTAGACTCCAGCCTGGGCAACTTAGTGATTTAATGAGACTGTCTCAAAATTAAAAATTAAAAAAGGGCTGAGACACAGTTTAGTGTGAAAGCCTAGAGTTCAATTCCCCATCCTGCTTTGAAGAAATAAAGAAAATAAAATTCACATAGTATAAGCCTAAAAACTTTTCTTTTTCTGGTATCAGGAATTGGACTCAGGACCATGTGGTTGCCAGGCAGGCACTTTGGCGCTGAGCTGTATCCTGCCCCAAGGTTGAAAATTTTATGTGAAGGCTTCTCCTCTTTAGGTTAGGAATATTTGGATTTTATTTGTTACTAGGAAACAAACAGAAATTCTTTTTTTTTTTTTCATTTTTCTTTTTTTAACTTTTTATCGGTACCAGGGATCGAACTCACGACCGCCTGCTTGCAAGACAGGTGCTTATGCCGCTGAGCTAAATCCCCAGCCCCTGGAAACAAACAGAAATTCTTAGCTCTCAGGAATAAACAACTATATTCTAGCAAAGGTAAAACAGAAATTACTGAAAGTCACCTGCATCTAAATGCAAATGCCAATTCATAAACT